CTAGCGCCAAACGGACGGTGCCTCCACGTTCAACACACGTACAGCCCGGAGACGTCTCCTCCTTCTTGATCCAGCAAGGGGAGAGGAGAAGTTGAGGGAGAGCTCCGTCAGCACGACGGCGTGGTGGTGAAGCTTGCAGTTCTCCGGCAGGGCTTCGCCAAGCACTACGGAGGAGGAGGAGGTGTTGGAGAGGGGGAGGGCTGCGCCAGGGGAAGGGTGCGCCAGCCCTCCCAGCCCCCACTATTTATAGGGGAAGGGGAGAGGGGGCCGGCCCCCTTAAATCCCATCTAGGGGGGGGGGCAGGGCGGCCAAGGGGGAGGCTTGTCCCCCAAGCTAGGTGGGGGCGCCCCCCTTAGGGTTTCCCCCAACCCTAGGCGCATGGGCCCTAGGGGAGTTGGCGCCCTGCCCACCTAGGGGCTGGTTCTCCTCCATATTTAGCCCATAGGGCCCTCCGGGGTAGGTGGACCCCCGGAACCCCTTCGGTGGTCCTGGTACAATACCGGTAAACCCCTGAACACTTCCTGCGACCGAATAAGGACTTCCCATATATAAATCTTCATCTCCGGACCATTCCAGAACTCCTCGTGACGTCCGGGATCTCATCCGGGACTCCAAACAACATTTGGTAACCACAAACTATTTCCCATAACAACTCTAGCGTCACCGAACCATAAGTGTGTAGACCCTACGGGTTCGGGAATCATGCAGACATGGCCGAGACATCTCTCCGGCCAATAACCAACAGCGGGATCTGATACCCATGTTGGCTCCCACATGTTCCACGATGATCTCATCGGATGAACCACGATGTCGGGGATTCAATCAATCCCGTATACAATTCCCTTTATCCACCGATATGTTACTTGTCCGAGATTCAATCGTCGGTATCCCAATACCTTGTTCAATCTCGTTACCGGCAAGTCTCTTTACTCGTTCCGTAATGCATGATCCCATGACCAACTCCTTAGTCACATTGAGCTCATTATGATGATGCATTATCGAGTGGGCCCATAGATACCTCTTCGTCATACGGAATGACAAATCCCAGTCTTGATTCGTGCCAAACCAACAGACACTTTCGGAGATACCTGTAGTGCACCTTTATAGCCATCCAGCTACGTTGTGACGTTTGGTACACCGAAAGCATTCCTACGGTATTCGGGAGTGCACAATCTCATGGTCTAAGGAAATGATACTTGACATTAGAAAAGCTCTTAGCAAATGAACTACATGATCTTGTGCTATGCTTAGGATTGGGTCTTGTCCATCATATCATTCTCCTAATGATGTGATCCCGTTATCAACGACATCTAATGTCCATGGTCAGGAAATCATAACCATCTATTGATCAACGAGCTAGTCAATTAGAGGCTCACTAGGGACATGTTGTGGTCTATGTATTCACACATGTATTATAGTTTCCGGTTAATACAATTATATCATGAACAACAGACTATTATCATGAACAAGGAAATATAATAATAACCATTTTATTATTGCCTCTAGGGCATATTTCCAACAGGTCCATTTCAAACTTTGTGTAAAACCAAGGGACTAAAATTATAATTTCTCTACTAAAACTGATATCCCCTCTCCCTCCTCCCACCTCACGTATTATCCTCACTAGTGAAGCTTTGAGGTATATGTTGTTTTTGAACACCCTCTAGACCTATCTATTTTGTATCATACAACCCTTTTTTACACAAGCATCCGTGTTTCTTGAGCCATGGCCATGTTCAACAACCTTTTTTAGTGCATACAAATGTGTCAATGGAAAAGAAATAGTATGCATGTTTCTTCATGATCAACAAATAATATATTGCATCCTTGTACATTTCATAAGCAAAAATCTAAGCATTTTTGTATATTTCATGAGCAGTATAAAAAATAATGCACATTAATTATTTATGACAAATCAGCATCAAACAACAAAATATATGCATTATTCATTTACCTTGATGGACCATGAATTCTACTTGTTATATACTACAACATTTTTCATCTTTGGTAGAGTGAGGGTCGATATGCTTAAGTTATAGCATTATTTTATCTTTCATGGAGCGAGGGTTGATAAGCTAAGTTTGTGAGGTTCCAAATGCAAAATATACAATAAAGTGCTGTTGTGCATGAATCTCCAAATGTACAATGGTGAGGATAATATGTGTGGCCACTGATTGGACGAGGAAAAAGTCCATTATATTATGCATCATTAATCCCTCCTTTCGTAAATAGATCATTTTCAGGGAGGTCTTCCAAAGAAAGGAAAATTCTTTTGGACATTCTCCAAGATAAAGTAAGTAGAAGGAAAAAAATATAGAAAATGAAGAATCAAGGGCCAAAATCGGAAAACAGTATTGAATGTAACTGGAAAGCAAAATGTCTACAACATACTCAAATCGAACTAAAAAATGCCTTGGACAAATGTTAACAATCATCCTTAATCCGTCCAAATATTTCCTACATTGTTTTGGGATGTCTATTCATGTTTTCGTCAACACCAAGTGAGGGGAATTTTCGCTCTTGAACTCCACTTAGCCTTTATATAGGAAATTGCAAAGTGTTTTTCATCAACCAAAAACTCCAGAAGTATTTCTCTCGCTAGTGGACTTATAAGAT